TTATTTAACAAGTTCTTCAGCCTTTTTTAATTTGGTTGAATAGTTTCTGAGATATAGGCCCTCAAACATGGCAATTTTGACATTTTTTGAAAAAAATCCGTCGTACTAAACTTTGCTTGGGGGCCTGGGACTCAGGAACGCGAGCGTAAACAAACACTATAGATTACATTATAATTTGCTGCTACAACTTACTAAAATGATAATTTTTGCATGAAAAGTCGGTTTATTTAGCTCAAAATCGTTTTCCAGTACTGACAAAAGTTCATATACGATTGCGCTAAATATAAAATCGTGGTGAAACGCACAAAAGGACTTCAAAATCAAATTTGAAAGTGAGCCTTCCTATAAAATGCCGTCAAGCATTGGCTGCATTGCCGAGCATGAAAGAATTGGCATACACTGAAGAATAAGTTTTGAACGCTAGAAGAATATAACAGGGATGTAAAGAAATTATTTATAGATGAAACGGGCATAATCGTGTTAGTTCTTGGTAAGTGAATCGAATATTTTCCATTTATAAATATCGTGTGATAGTCACATTAATTGGCAATTAATATTCTGCGACTGCAAGTAAACAAATAAAACGAAAAATTGTGTATTTTAGATTCAATACTAATAGCTTAACTATTGAAAAACACTATAAAATTTGATATAGAGAAGGGATAACCGGTTTGATTTGCCATTCACAAAATATGCAGGATTTTATTCTTTTTGCCTCAATAATGCTTTTGGTCTGATCATTTGAAAAGCTTTATTGCACAAACATGTGGTATAAGTATAGGTAATAGCATGGTTTCGAGTGCAATTTGGATATAACATGCACGAGTAAGTTTTTCAAAGACCTCAAAATAGCACGAGTCCGAAGGACGAGTGCTATTTGAGGTCTTTGAAAAATTCACGAGTGCATGTTTATCCAAATTTCACGAGAAACCATGCTATTACTTATTAATAATTTACATAAAAATGTTCGAGACAATTGTAGTTTTAACTTACGCGTTTATAGCGAACATTCCACTGGCAAAGTTTTCCTGGCTTTGTTATATCACATTATACAACGCTAACAGCTTGAAAATTCCACTCAACTATGTAATTTTTGTTAGTCTTGTTTAAGGTAAATGCTTTTCCATTTAAAAATAAAGATAAAAGCTATATTTTCCACGCGAAGGCAACTTTTACTTTACTGTAGCGCGGCGCCATGTTTGTTTTGTTTTGAAGCAATCTGTGACCGTTACTTCTTTAAACTAAATTGCTTTAAACTGATTGGTTGATTTAATCATCACAATGTTTTTCCACCAATCAGATCAGTTTGTTACAGATTTTTGCACTGTGATTACAGAAAATTGCACTGTGATTACAAAAAATTGCACTGTGATTACATACGCACGTGACGATGAAATACGCACGTGACGATGAAAGACCATATTTTTGCATAAACCTGAACAACATAGATAATGAGGTTTATTGTGATTTTATTGTAATGCTATAACGAGTTTCCAAACCATCTCCTCTATTAACTATGGTATAAGCTGATTCAAAGGAGAAGTAATTTTTGAGGTCTAAACTTAATATTTTTATAAACTTTGGACATGTTCAGTTTAATAAGGCCATGCAAAGTTTCTGTTTATTATAGGAATAGGTTAATGCACCTTGCTAATGGCAAGGCAAAGCTTGAGCTGCACAAATACCGTGTCTTGACTCTTGAGTAAGCTGTATGACAGATCACTGGTTTGCCTCATGGAGGCAAGTATTACATTATTAAAGTCTAAGGTATAATTATATCTCTACTTTTAGGTCTTTATCGTATCAGTGGCATACATGTGATTCACCAGATTACACTGTAGCTCATGGTTGTAAAAAAGATGAAATAATACCATTGTGTTCTGTTTATCAAACTATCTGCAGTTTTTAATGGGAAAGATGATGACTTCAAAGGATATGTATAATTATTTGGAAAATGAGAGACAAGAAATATAATTTTAAAGCACGACTAACCACAAATATGATTTTTGGTATGTGCAATATCTGTGTCATTCATTTGAAGAAATGTTATCTCTATAATAAAAAATCCCTTTTTCATCGACCTTTTCACTGTCAAAGTTTCCGGATATGGTTGGGGTTAGTCCAACTTTAATTAATATATGCATGCTTGATTTTTTTGTCATTAGCTTGCATTTAATAAAGTTACAGCACACATAACGCACAAATAATATCTTACTAGTCTATTTTTCTAAAAGGAGTCAAAGTCATGAAAAAAAGAAATTCATGCTACTGTGTAGTAGTGTAAAAGAAAACGTTGATTTATAAACTTGATCAACAAGAACGGCTTAGGAAGACAGGTTATACAGAATTGAATAATAGTTGAAGGGTCGATCTTGTACAGATGGAAATTATTGAGTAGAAATTTATATGCATTTATTATACCTAACCAGGAAAAGTTGTGAAAAATCAAAATGCAACTGCTGATCACCGGCAGAAATCCAACCTGCTGCCCTGCAATTCCAGTGCAGCGCAAGCTGTAACCATTATATACAGGGGTTGAACAAATAGGTGAGCACTGCTCGCAGTAAATGTTAAACAGCTGCAGGAAGTTTGTTTGAATGAAGGGAGAGGGAGAGGGGGAGAGGGGGAGGGAGGGAGGGAGGGAGGGAGGGAGGGAGAGTACTGCCATGTTTAGAGTATTTTAAAATATCATGATTTTGTTGGCTTCTCACTCAATTCAGTAATAGTTGAAGGGTCTTGTATAGAAGGATATTTAATAAATGTATATAAATTTCCACTCAATAAGTTTCATCTATAGACTATACAAGACCTTTCAAACAGGGTCAGCCCTGCAAACCAGGCACACATAAACTGGCCTGGATCCTTGCAGATGTCATCATGGCTCCAACCCTCACAAGTTCAGGTTGTTTGACAAGGTCAAGGGTTGGAATGTTAATGGGAGCTTTACCATTTAATAACAGCAAAGCCATAAATTCAAGCGAAGTATTTCTATATTTGTCTATTGCAGCAATAAAGCTAATACAATCATGAAATGTATTGTGATTTTCAACAGTACAAAATAGAATCGAAAAAGCTCAATAATTCAAACTGCAAAATATAATTACTCAAAGACAACCCAAAATATGGTATTAAATTGCAAATGGAAAATACATTTACATATAGAAAATATATTATTCACTTCAATACGAAGAACTATCACGATATACTGTACATGTAAGGTCCGTTTCATGTGAAAATGAATTTCCTTATTTCCTTGTTATATTCTTCCAACTTTCAAACGTATTCTTTGGCCCATATTTCGTCAGTGTAGCTTTAAATGCCAACATTTTCATGCCCGACGAAGCTAGATGCCATCTACGAAGGACGGAAGGAGTACTTTCAAATTTGATTTTGAAGTCGTTTTGTACGTTTTACCTTCAATTTTATATTCAGCGCAATCGTGGGAACTTTTTTCAGTACCAGAGAACGATTTTGAGCTTAATAAACCGACTTTACTTGCAAAAATTCTCACTTTAGTAAGTTACAGCGTCAAAATATAATACAATTCTATAGCGTTTGTTTACGCTCGCGTTCCTAAGTCCCAGGCTCCCAAGCACGACGGATTTTTTTGAAAATTGTCATGTTTGAGGGCCAATATCTCGGAAAATACTGAACCAAATCAAAAAAGGTTGAACAACTTACTAACTAACTTTTTGCGCTCTTTCCAAATCCGTAAATATCCCACGAGTGATATAGGCACTTTAATGCTACTAAAGTCTAAAAGTATATGAAACCATTTTTGCATTTACATGAATACAGAATGTCCTAAAAAAGTTCCCCTTAACGGCTTAAGGCTTAAGGCACATTCTTTATAGTAAGTATACTATATAGTTTATACATAAAGTCGATTAGACTTTCCGCTTATGCTCAGTTTTTCCTCCCTTAAGGCTAAATTCCACGACGAGCGAAATGCGAAATATTTCGTGCGAAAACACACTTGTGCGAAAATTTTCTCTCGTAGTGATTTCCACAGTAGAGAAAAAATTCGCCAAAACACAAGCATTTGATTGGTTTCGCTATTTTGTCATCCATAACACAAGCATTTGATTGGTTTCGCTATTTCCATTTCGCAAGGGAGTAGAAACGAATTCAACTACCCAGCGAAGAGAAATATTTCGCTGAGAAACATTCCAAAATCATGTTGCGCATGCGTCCAACCTTTTCGCGCGAAATTTTTCGCATTTCGCTCGTCGTGGAATTAGGCCTTTATCGGGGTACCTCGGATTTTTATCCAGCGAATTTTTATCGCTGTAGTTGTGCGTTTAATGGTAATTATAAATTTCCCATTGAAAACATCGCTTTTCATGTTGTTTAGACTGTCTAGATTCCCACCATTATGGTCATCACTTGTTTCCATCTATCAAAGTGACATTGCTGTTATCCATTTCTGTTAATACTTACTATTAAAAACATAACAAACGTTGACCCAAACGTAAACCCTAAGCCTTACTTGAAATCCAAACAAATAAACTGGAAAACGATTTTTTAACTATTGAAGTAATGTTAGTTTGGTAGATGGAAACAAATTTTTGCCGCGGTGTTGTTTTGGCGGGAATTTGAATCCTTCGGATGTGCCCACTGAGCTATACTATATTACTGGAGGACGTGCTCGGCATCAAAAAGTGTCGCCAAAAACATGGCGGATTTTCGCGCCATATGACGCCATTTCCATGACAACTGGTTCCTCCGGCTAATGAAATTACCACTGACCAGGCTCAATTCTGAGCCCGCTGCCATTTTCACCCCACCCCCTGTTTTATCAAAAATATTTTTGCCATTGGTTCAAAGATTTAAAAGTCGTGCACGCTATTCTCACCCGCGAAAGACAACAAACCAATATGAAAACCCCGAGAAAGTTAGGCAAAGGCGATATTTGATGGCACAGCTAACCGAGCAGCTAACAGGTAAATTTTCACATACTATTGATATGCTTTTATTTTTAATTTTTAAAAGATAGTGGGAGTAAATGATAGAATATAATCCATTAGATAACAGGCTATTTGTATAGTATAACGTATTATTTTCTCAAAGTTTTTTTTTCTTTTTTTTTCACTTTTATACTAGCTTTGTTAAATTGTTGGCTGGCCATGGTTTTTGTTAAATAAACAAATTTTGTTTTATTTAATTCAGTTAAATCAAATTCCCTCAAATCCTTTGGGTTTTCTATATAGACTTATGACTGAAATCTGACATGCTTGATTTTATGCAATTGTATGTGCTAAATAAGTATATACAGATGTAAAGGCATGAAACAATGTGCTTCTATCTATATTTTTTGTGTTTATATATACTAGAGTCTGTGGTTATTATAGTTGCATAATCTGGGATGCCAGTAGATTAGCTAGCCCAGGGTTACCAGAAGCTCAGGATACTGTGGGCAACTTATCTG